AGAGAGAGAGAATTTCAAAATATATACAATAAAGCTTGAGCTAAAAAACAAAGTCCAACACAACCAAATACATACTACTCCACTCTCAAAGTCCAACTTTCTGAAGAAAATCTTACATACTCAAATTATGTACTTTACCTTGATCATGTTCAATCCTGACGTGCCGAATGAAGCCATTGAGCTTGAAGGTGAGGGAGAAGATGTAGTGGTGGTCAGATGAATCCCTCACAATGAAGGACCCATCGGGTTCGTTGGCCAGCACCTTCTCGGCTGCCTCCCCGCTGATTGGACCCCAATACCACCCACACTGGCAGGGGAAAGGGGGGATCCATTATAAATAATTTCCTTTACACACACATTTGCACACAAACACAGACATATACTATTAAAAATATAATAACAGTCATAAACAGGTAAAATGTGGTAAAAAATGTGTTCAGACATTTCACTTACATCTTTGACTTTTTCAATGATGGAGGCAAAGTCGCAGCCTTCCTCTTCTCTGCGCTCACTCCCAGACTCTGTCTGCGACTTACTGTTGGCATCTTCCTCCTCCCCGGCACTGGGCAAGGGCAAAGGAGGCAGTGCACGGTTGGTGACAATAGCTGGTGATCGTGATGGGGGAGCACTGTTCTGCTGAGGTGCTGGCGCTACAGTCGCAGGTAGGTCATCTGCCTCTGCTTTGTGGTTCCCCAGGCATGACAGCAACCCAGTGTTAATACCATTGGAGTGGCGGTGGTTACTGTGATGGTTCTGCTGGTTGTGGTGGTTCTTGCTGACGGTGGTTGTATGGTTGGCTGTATTGTTGGGTTTTGGTCCTGAGGCGGGGGAGCCAGCCAGGGTTGTGGTCCCATTGCCGGCGATTTCTGAAAATCCCTGAGATGCAGCGTCCACACAGCTTCCGCTTTTCAATCTTGAACTACTAGATTTGGTACCCTTTTTCAGACCAAATATTGTAATAAGGGTGTTACGGATATTACTAGATATACTTTTCCCTTTCTTTCTGTTGTCCTCAAGACGCCCTTCAGAGCTGTCTTTTCTTTTGCATGACTTCATTGAAGTAAATGGAATTATTCTGCATATTTTAGATTGTTCATGACCTACTTTTCTCTCTTGTTGAACTCTATGAGTCTTGTTACAGTTTATTGTGTCATCAGACTCGTGGAAGGACTTTCTAACTTCCTCTAACGTCATGTGAATGGGTTCATGATTTTCTTTGCTGGGTCCATGCTTTGGAGTCATGCTGAGGGCACAACCAATGTTACTGGGGACACTGTGACGCTTGCTGACCCTTAACAATTCACCACCACTGACTGATGCAACAGATTGACCTGAGTGCTGTCTGCTCCTCGTCACACTACTCTCCTTGAGCTGCCGGCTACTGCTAACATGATCGGAACTACTCACTCTCTTGGAACTGGCATCATTCAGCACACTGGCACTGGCACTGTTCTTACCATGTCTCCGGTGATGTCTCTTCTTGGGCTGGTGCATAATGGCCTTTGGGTGTAGTATCTGCCCTTCCTTTGGCTTCACTACATCTACTGGCACTGCATAGATATCTCCATCTAGCGGCACGTTGTAAATGTCACTTACATCGCTGTGGTTGGTTTTGGAAGTAGGAAAGAGCAAGGCATCATGTGACACAGCGCCGGTGATGAGGTGGGAGTCATCCATGCGAGGGCCAGAGCTGACCAACGAGTCATGAGAGAAGGAGAGACTTGAGCCCAAGGAAGATCTGGAGTGTGGCCGGTGTGAGGGGCTGTAGGGCAGCTCTGGCGTCCAACACAAGCCTGGGCTCCCACAAGACAGTCCAAGGAGGGGAATGCTTGACTTGCGACTGCCTTTGCTCCCACCTACAGCCCACCAGCTGCTCTCCTTCCTCTGGTACTCCTCCCGACACTGTTCCCGCTGACACTGGCCAGAACATTTGATGGACCATCCTATTGAACAACTCACAGTCAGTGCCTCCTCAAGCACTTGTTTCACAAACAATGACGCAAACTTATCAATCCACACACAACCCTCTCTGGCCATACGCTCAACGTCACTACTGCTGCCATATGTCAGATCGTCTTTCTGTTTTCTTAAAACACAGTTTAAATTATAATTATCTTGTAACACTGATTGGTTCTCCTTACAAAAGCTTGCATCATAATATGAACGGTCCCTTGACTTAAACTTTTTCAAGGATTGTCCGTTATTAAGTATATTTTTACTTGAAACGGAGTTTACTGTTATGACACAATTCTGTCTGTTCTTTCCACCTTCCTCACTCACTGCTGGCACAGGGCCTGTGTGAGGGCTTAGGGCACTAGGGTGAAGTGGTATCACAGATGAAAAAGCTTCCTTAGGGTTTTCTCTCGGGGGCGAGGAGTGCCACTTTGACTCCCGATCTTCCGAAGGTGGGTTGGGTCCAGGGGGAGCCGTCTCTTGGGGCGGGAGGAGGTGGTTGGAGCTCTGCTGGACGGGGACAGGGCTGGGACACGTGATGGGACTG